ACATCATGGCGTGCTTTGTGACGTCGACCTGCCAGCTCCCATACAGCTTTAACACTAGACTGCACCACAACATCATGGCGTGCTTTGTGACGTCGGCCTGCCAGCTCCCATACAGATTTAAACCAGACGGACTCTCAGACCTGCAGAGAATAATTATTGTTACTGTACATTGTGTTGAATGCTAGTTGTCTACAAATCTGGATGAATAGCAGTGAAAAGCTGAAGGCGTCTCTCTTTCCAAAAAGGGGAGTATGATTCATGACAGCTTTATGTACGTTTCAGCTTAACTTCTGGGCCAAAAGACAGTGTCAACATGCGGAGGGATTTAGCGGCTGATTTCATGTCGAAGAAAGGTGCTGTTTATCTGATCTGCTCCGAGTTCAGCTGAAATACGCCACAGTCTGTTTTTCAATCTCCCCCCCCCTCCCCCCAATCAGGCACTTTTTTTTCATGCACGTGAAGGACGAGCTCCTCAGAGGACACCTGCAGACGAGCAGAGAGCAGGCAGAGGACCTCAGTGCGCTGCTGGCCCAGGCTGAGTTTGGGGACTACAACCAGACCACGGCGAAGTACCGCTACTCTGAGCTCTGTGGGAAGGAGCCTGGCCTGGATGTCATGCAGAGGTAACACCTAGTGTCAGCCTCATGCTTCTGGGCTGCCGTGACCTCCACATGCACCCAACGTTCTGCACACACTGGCTCAGCAATCTTATTGGATAATTGGTTTAAAATCTACTCTCAGGTGCCCGAGTGTTCTGCCAATGAACTATCATCGTCGTCCAGATGTCTGTGTGTATTTATTTGTATTTTTTTTTGCAATTACCTGACATATTTAGCCTCAGCAACAATGGATCAGTGGCCAGGGAATGTAGATTTTCCTGAAAGATCAGTGCATGGTTCCAGCCCACTTATCCCTATATTTACTTATGTTGCTCAAAATTTCCAGCTTGTTAATGTAACGTGACCAAAATATTTTCAAAGGAATTTGGCTTGTACCGAAGTTTAATAATTGTTATTCAGATTAAATATAGACAAATGTTCCCTTACTGGTTTTAAGCATGATAAAACCAGCTTAAAGCAGGTCAGATCTCTTGGTTTTGGTCACAGTTTAATAGTTTTGTTTAATGTATGATCTGTGGTCTTTTGTCTTTGGAAAATATTCTCCATGTTTACAAAATGTATAATTATCTTACCGCTTGCAGGTAGCGCATGCTACCACCCGATTCATTCCGCTTCGTACTTATAAAGGCCAACAGCAGACTGCTAATTACACCACAATTACTTGTCCAGTGCAGTATTTCAGCTGCTTTTTTCTGGGGTTTTTTGGGTGTTTTGTGGAGACTAAGTGGAAAGACAGTTGGCCCTAATTGTGCTGTTGGCTGTGTGCATGTATTTGTGCGTGGGGGCCAACAACAGCCATTAAATTTGAGGGATCACCTGGCTCGTCCCCTACCCACCCCCCCCCCATCGGCAGCATCGTTTCCAGGCACAAATCCCTGGCTGGGATAAGCCCCCGCTCAGCGGAGTACCGGGCCCTACAGCTGGTGTCCTTGCTGGAGCGTTACGGTGTGGAATGGCACCGAGCTCGGGACAGAGAGGGTCTGAGAGTGGCTATTGGGGTCGGGCCCGAAGGAGTCTTCATCTGCAAGGAGGACTTGAGTCTCATAAACAGGTGTGACATAAAAAAAACACTGGGGTTGTTGCATAATATTACTGGCTTGACTTGGATTAATGTCCATCCATCCATCCATCCATCCATCCATCCATATATCTTCCAAGAGCTTGTCCTTCTCTATTGTCATACTTATTCAATAAGTGCTATTGAAAGTCGTATTTTTTTAGGCAATTAGGGGGGATTAAATTGACATATTTAGGGTTTTAGCATCTGTTTCACATTAATTTATTTTGTTTTCCTGGATTTTTTTCTCTCTCTTTCTTTTCTTTATCTTCTCTTCTTTAAAGGCTTGCTTATCCAGTCATTCAGGTAGCAACCCAGTCTGGGAAGAATGTGTATTTGACCGTCACCAGGGAAACCGGCAAAAGCACCATGCTGCTGTTCAAGCTGATAAGCACCAGGGCGGCCAGCGGGCTCTATCGCGCTGTCACCGAGACACACGCCTTCTACAGGGGAGTACATGCTATCGCGCTGTCACCGAGACACACGCCTTCTACAAGTGAGTACATGCTATCGCGCTGTCACCGAGACACACGCCTTCTACAGGCGAGTACATGTCCCAGAAAGCTGCTCTCTTATTGGCTCTGGCAGGGTCACGAGTTTTACTGTAAATTCTCTGCATCTGATCTTTTTTATCTTTGTTCTTTTGATCTGCATGAAGAAAACTAGAGTCATGCACTAGAGTCATGTCTGTCAAAGAGAAACTGTTGTTCTTGCTTTTTTATGGCCTCGAGTAACCTCCCAACAACAGGCTTCATGCAGGGATGGTTGGGCGGGGGTGGCTGTCAGAGATTTTGTTTGGGCATAAAATAATTTTTTTTCAGACACTTTGTCATTCATGCAAAAAGTATCGTTCAAATTTTAAACATTTTAGAGCTGTAAAGGGGATGGAGGGAGGAGTTAGGACGAGTCCCAGGGGTCGTAAAATATTTGGAATGCAATTGGATTTGTCTGGGTTGGGGGCCCCGATATAATATAATATAATATGGGGCCCAGAATCTCTAGCGCCGCCCCTGGCTGGCTGCACCACACTGCCCAGTCTGAAGTTCTGGCTCTAGTTTGACTGGACGAGAGTCCCTCCCAGAAGTCTAAGGGGGTTTTTGCGTGTCCCACAGGTGTGACACAGTGACCAATGCGGTCATGATGCAGTACAGCCGTGACTTCAAGGGTCACCTGGCCTCACTGTTCCTCAACGAGAATGTCAGCCTGGGAAAGAAGTACGTCTTCGACATCCGGCGCACATCCAAGGAGGCGTATGAGCAGGCTCGCCGGGCGCTGTACCGCGCCGGTGTGGCGGACCTCATACCCTCCGACCGCTCGCCCGGTCACGGCCCGGATGGCTGCAGTGGCTGCCCTCAGAGCCGCGCCCTGCTGGAGAAACTGGAGAGACTGCGGGAGGCGCTGCTGTGCATGCTGTGCTGCGAAGGGGACATCGACGCCACCTTCTGCCCCTGTGGTCACATGGTTTGCTGCCAGAACTGTGCCACTCAGCTCCAGGTAGTTGTTGGGTCGTATCATGGTGTAGTAGTCTGGGGCAAAGCTTTTAACCCGTACTACCCAAGAGGAGTATGCGACTGCATTTATGGGCAAAATTTTGTGCTGCTTTAGTTAAATGCATCAACTGAATGATGAAATGTGAGGTAATGATTATCTGATAGATGTATTTTACATGATCAAGCATTACTTGATACTCATTTCCTCTATGATTCTCTGTAGCAGTGCACTCACATGACCTGCAGGGGGGAGTCAAGAGTAATGTGACCTTTTGGTGTCTCCCCAGTCGTGCCCAGTGTGTCGTTCGGAGGTGGACCGGGTGCAGCATGTGTACCTCCCCGCCTGCGTCAGCCTGATGGGCCTGCCCAGGACAGCCGGCGCCCATGTCACCATCCACAGGGGGCCGCCATCAGCACGCTGTTTGGCCCCCTCAGAAAAAATCTGTTCGACATGAAGCAGCATGTTATTTTTGTCTGTCTGTTTGTTTGTTTGTTTGTTTGTTTGTTGGTTAGCTCTCACTGTTCAGCACAACAGCCACCTGTTACTTTGGCTACCACATCTACATCGTGTCAGAAATCATTTGAAGCGAATTGTTTCTTTTTAAAAGATGTATATTTTTCAGAGGTCAGTTGAATTTATAAATGATAGAACCACCATTCCTTTCTAATTTTTCTGTATTTTATAGCAAAGTCTTTCGTTTTATATTTTTCAACACTGCCTTTTATACGAGAAGAGGAAATTATTTGTATATTTTACTAGGTTCAAACATGTAGTTGTATGTCTAAATTTCACATACCTTTTAAGTTGATATTTAAGAATCATATTTTTCACTTGTAAATTTTACACGTTATAAACAGTCTATATGTAGGGAACTGGGAAAACATTATATGTGAGTATAAGCAACATTAAGACACATACTGGATTTTTAACAAACAATCTGCATATCTGGCTGGTTCTGTAATTTCACAAAGACTGTAACTGAGTATGAAGCACATTTGCACGTTTGACTAGTCATATAAATACCTACAGTATGTGTCTGAAAAATTCTACCTGATGTGTTTTTCAAATATTTAATTGAAATGTCCTAAGCGCATTAATGCACTTTCAGGCTAGCAGGTGTCCTCAGTCACTTCACACGTCCTGACATAAGCTGTGTCGTTTCAAAGAGGCTCCCGAAAGCTTTACTCATGCACACTTTGCCATTCAGGAGCTGTTGTACTTTGGATTGCATATTTTTGAGAGGTATGCTGGCCAGTTTAGCTCCAGTTTTCAGTCTCATGTGACCAACTTCTAGGTAAATGTGTCTGCTAGTGCAATATATTCTGCTTTTAAAGGCTAGGGGCCCATTTAAAGAGTGCGTGTATACCGCAGTAGTATACACACAGTCCATATATTCATGTATTCCATTAATTTCCATGGGAACACCGTAATCTGAGCTCTGATAACACTAACCCTTACCCAGCCTAACCTTAACCATACTGTAAGAAACCAGACAAAATATGACTTTTTAGTCTTTTGATTGCATTCACCGATTTTTATAAAATTGAGGTTGCCCTTGTGGGGACCAAAAACATCTTCCCACAAGTTAAAATTGACAGGTTTTTATCACATTGTGGGGAAATCTGGTCGCCACAATGTAATAATTACAAACACACACACTCTGTTGTTACCTACAAAGGTTTATATATTGGGTTTATCTTAATGTAGCAGGATTATATTTTATATGTATTTGATTTTTTGCAGATTTTGTCAGACACTAAGGCAGAAGTGGAGCATATTCTAAGTCCTTTGTGTATTTTACTGTGAGATCACACTGTCAGTGACTGCTGTCGAACACATGAAAATGTTCTGTCCCCCCCTCCCCCCCAAGGTCAAAATCTGGGTTGATTAATTGTACTTTTATATTCATGTAAAAATATATATAAATAAACCATTTTAATATCATGCAGTTTTGCAACAGGCTTTCTTTAGCCGTAACCGTTAACTTTATGTGGGTCATGTGAGGGGGAGGGCGGGGCTACCATCTGACCATCTGAACAGGAGCTAAAGATCTGGAAGGTGAGGAAGGTGCCTCTACAAGTTTGAGTCACTCTCCACTTGCCTGATCGGTTTTTACTGGTTAGTTATTTATGGATCCGTGTCTTTATTTCCCAGTAAACCCATACCCAAGGCAGCCTTACCACCTGCGTCCCAGTGCCCCCGTGCTCCCAGTTGTTTTCTTCCAGATCCACTTCAGCCTTTAATCTGTAGATTACTTTCCACCCCTTTGTCCAGAAAGGGTAGAATATGAAGTGTGGCCCCCATTGAGCATGACCTGCAGAAATACTTGACAGCTTCATTTATGCTAGTAAGGTGGCCTGCTTACAGTTTAGGGCAGTGTTTCTCAACTGGGCCTGTTTGAGAGAGAGCAAAAATGTGGACTTTCTGGGGGTCCCCAAGGACTGGGTTGAAAAACACTGGTTTAGAGAATGTACTGCTACACCAAGGTGGACAAATTTGGGGGGTGGGTATTCAACGGCAATCTTTTCCTTTGATTAGTTTTTTTCCCTCGAGTCGAGTGATGAATTCATTAACTTCCTAGAAGGGATTCCTCTATGCGTCCTACCATTACATGTCGTACACAACATCTTAACTGCTTGATTTCCTTCATAATTCGCTAATCATGCTTCCGCAAGTTGCTAGAAACGGCGGATATTGTGGATCAAAGATGCGCGCAATGGTGTTCAGACACCATTTCATTTCCAATGAACAAATAAAAAAATCGGACACGAATATGATGCAAAAATCCTGATTCAGCACCAATTAGATCATTCATAGGCTTATAGAAGCAGTGGCACAATCAATACATGGGTGATAAATTTTACTATTACTGTAACAACCCCCACACATAGAATTATTTCTGCCAATGCACCTGGCGTCAAATATCACTTAATACTGTTCCTACTTTCCATATTACATACAATAACAGTGTCCGAAACCTGCAGAAATCACAGCAATATATAGAAACTAATCACTTCTCGCTATAATGGAAAGTGAGTGGACTGGGGGTAGGTTAGAAAATGATTCCAACAAGAGATAGGGGATGTATTGCTTCTCATCATCCATCAAGAACCCTTAAAGCCATATGCGGTCCGTCTAGACTTTTCTCCCGATCATGCATTAGAAAGGTGTGTCTGCCGGCTGCTGCAGTGCATGGTAATCACTGTGTGTCCCGCATGGCTGCTGCAGTGCATGGTAATCACTGTGTGTCCCGCATGGCTGCTGCAGTGCATGGTAATCACTGTGTGTCCCGCATGGCTGCCGTGTCGTTCGCCAGACACCTGGAAAGTTCCGCGGTGCAATGCCAGGCTCGTTTCCTGTGTCCTGATCGGACAGCAGCGGGAATAAGAGGTAAGAAGTAAGCTTGTTGAACAGGGCTTTCAGTTAATGTTAGTCACTGTCTGTACTTCATTGTTTCTTTTTATACTCGTCCGTCATTATCTTTGCTGAATGTCTCCAGATCATTGAGATGGAAAGTATGGTAGTACGTAAACGCTTGGGCGATTTGTCAAGCCATCTATTATGAACACCGGCACTGGTTAAAAATAGTTACATTTCAGTTTTTTGTAACTTAAGTAATCAGCTTAAGTAGTGTCTCGATAAGATTTTTTTCTGCTGGTTGTGTCCCATTTTTGTGTGTTTGTTTTTATGCAATTTTACGCTTTTAGCTTAAAATACATTTTACAGTGACATACGTTTACTTACTCCCTTCTTTACTTGAAAACGAGCAACCTTTTTTTTTTTTTAAAACTCCACCTTGTGGCCAAGCCTGGTTTTTCACTTAATTTCTGCTACTGTACATAGGACAGCCCGTTTTCAAATTGTCAGTGTCCTCTGGCGGCTGATGAAAATTATGGCAGCATCTTTTACTGGGAAATCACGTCATGATGAACGGTTTATCAATCTGTCCTTAAATTTTTTTTTTGAATAAACGGATTTCTTAATGCATGCACTAAGCAACTGTGTGTTACATGCAGTCACCTCCTGTTTCTCTCTCTCTCTTGCTTCTCTTCACTTCTCCCCCCTCCCTCCACGTGCGTGTAACGTGTGTGCACGCACTCGCTCAGGGTATTGATTTCACTGTGTCCTAGCCACACGAGGCGTTTTTTTTTCTTTCCTTTTTTCTTTTTTGTCCCCTCCCATACTGCACCAGTGCTTCCCTGTGCAGTACCGCAGTGCCGGCTATCCTCTGCAGTCACTGTGTCAGCTGGCCAGGGAGCAGCTCCTGTAGCTGCAGCAGCTCTGCGATCGGAGAGAAGAAGGGGTGGGGGGGAAGCGAGTGAGGGGGAAGAGAGAGAGAAGGAGGGAGGCCTTGAAAGACAAAGCCATGCGGGCTAGGGTTGCGGCAGCCCCCTGCAAATTCTAAACCTCTGAGGCGCCTGGAGTTTGAGGCTGGGCCTGGGGCCCCGCGGCCCGACACCATTGCAGCCAGGCTCAGGAAAGCCGCCTTGACCACCTTCAGGTCCATCGCCATGCCGCGGGTAGATGTCGACCTCAAGCTGGACTTCAAAGACGTCCTACTGCGACCCAAACGGAGCAGCCTGAAGAGCCGCCTGGAGGTAAGCCGCCTGTCTCAGTCCCCCACCCGCCCAGTTGTCACGTGTCTGCTGTGTGGTTCCTGTGAGGCATTATAGATCGGCGATCACCACCAAATACCGCAGCAGCTGCCCTCAGCCCAGCTCACAGCCTGGGTGTACTGTGGGTGACCTTTAAGGGGGGCACATCCGTGTTACCGACATCTTCCAGGTTACCTGCCTTAGGCCCAATTTTACCCTAAAAGATACAAAGCTACTATCACTCTAAATGACATAATCATTCGTATGGGAATCCCCTGAGCGAAACCTCCTGTCATCCATTGGACGCGGATTTCTCATTAGTTACTGCCGAATTACAAAAAGACACAACTGTCCCCGCAAGATCACTGCATCCTTACCAAAAAACTGGTGTTGAATGTGACTGGCTTTGAGCATGGTTATTCAAAACACTTTGCACCAAATGACCACATTCTCAGTGATGCACGCAAAATGTATTCTCTAAACAAATAGAACCACCTCTGTGAAACTCTTTAGCAAAAGCCAGTTTCACTATAAATCACTAATTCCTGGGGTTAGTAGGCCTGAAATACACAGGAGATACACAGCAGTATGAATATTGATCCATGTACCCAGTGGACGTAAACAAACCACTCCCTTCTTCCCTTTGCAGCATGACAATATCACTGAGAGGTAGGGGTACTTCCTCTCAGCATCCGTCTCTGTCTTGCGCAGGCCCTAACCCTAACCCTAACCCTAACCCCTAACCCTAACCCCTAACCCTAACCCTAACCCTAACCCCTAACCCTAAACCCAATGTCACCTGTAGCCTGGTCTCTCTGTTAGGAGCGAGACCTTCATGGCTTCCTTTATTGAAAAAGTATCTTATCTTTACTTTGTTTCACTCCACAAATCAAATGTCTTAATGAATAACCAGACAAGCTGTTTGTTCTCTTTTCCTTCTATGGATCATGATTGTTTGCACTTGCCTTCAGTCTGCATTTTTTGGCAGTGTAGAAAAATGTACTTATTTATCCTAAAAGCAAATGTATTAACACATTTTTACAGGAGTTGCATGTTCTGTGTATGTTTGTTGACCTTGCATCTGTTCTACCTTTCCTTGGTTTTCTTCTCCTTGACATACCACTTCCCCCGAAATCCTTTTCTCTAGTAAATGATTTAAGGAAATGTGTGCACTGCTTACCATTGCAACAATCATGGCTGAAACTCTTGAACGCTTGAAATTCTTTATACTGACCTGTGCTGTCCAATAGGAGAAAGGAACATAGCTCTGTACCTCCCTGTGTTAGTTTAGCTATTGATTAACATGTCCGGACTCTGGTTTGAGACCAGGCTATCGGAGGAGAGAGAATCGACTCTGATTGTCTAAATCCATGGACCTACACATTACGTTCCAGGATCCATTTCACTCAGTTCCATAAATTATTTAGCGCCTCTTTGTCAGGAGGATCCGGATCCTGAATCTTTTATGGGCCGTGGACAGCCATCCTCTCAGCCGTAACGCGGTTATGCCTTTTCCTAGGAGGATGCATAGAGACGTTAACTGCTGTTGATGGTGCTGATCAAAACACCAGGTGCATATTAAGCAGCCAGACTGGGATATTATTCAATTTCTTAATTTACATGCAGAGTATGGTGTAGGGAACAGATTCTCATTTTAAAGAGGGGTCAAAATTGCATAAATAAATACTGAATGAATACAACATATAATTAAAAAAAAGATGAAAACTTGAATATAAAGATAGCGTCGGGATGTCTACATTAACAAAAACAGTTTTCTGTCATGGTTGTAAAAGGAGAGGAATCCTTTTTTTGTGCCTTGTTGTGCTGGCTGGTTCCTTTGTGAGTTGGCTGTGGTCTGGCCATTGGGTTGGTCTGCATTCGTGCCTAAGGCAGAATGTTCTGGATGGTGCCTTTGTTTGGAGCTGTATAGCCATGACCAGGCCCTGCCAGTTGTATGGCAGCAGCAAAATCACTTCTCGGAGATAGGGTTTACCCATATTGAATAATATCTTGCTCCTTTTTAAAATTAAAGCTGGTATAATGTGTACTGCATCTGCATGCATGTAGTATTTACGTAGTAAAAATGATTTGATAATATAAGGGCATCCTGTCTGATGCTGCGCCTACTGGAATGTGTTGATTTGTAGTCTTAAAGCCTCATTGTTACACCTCCAAAAACTCTCAACCTGTTAACAAGAGTAGTTGAGCAACCCGTTGGTTAGACCACTGTGTTTGCCCTGGGATATTGCCCTGGAGACTTATGGGTAATGGTGGCCCTTACAGTAGTCTCTCGCTGCCCAGGTGGACCTGCAGAGAACATTCACGTTCCGAAATTCCCAGCAGCAGTACCATGGCATCCCCATCATTGCAGCCAACATGGACACCACTGGCACGTTTGAGATCGCACAAGCACTGTGTAAAGTGAGTCCCCCCTCAGGGAGGCTGCATCGACGTGTGGGGGTACAGGAGGCTGGTCATGCTTGAGCTTGACGTTGAGCTTTTTTCCTCTTCCTCCCCCACTGTAGCACACCCTCTTCACAGCTGTGCATAAACACTACTCCGTAGAGGACTGGGAGGCCTTTGCAGACAGGTGTCCAGAATGTTTGGAGGTGAGTCAAGAGTGGATAGCCATTAAACTGGCATTCCCATTGTCCATACAGTTCCTGTGGTCCATACGGTTACCATGGTCCATATGGTTAAGGTGCTGTTATGGAGATACTGCACCAGCGTACCTCGCTGTTCGGTCATAAATAGTTAACGGTTAAATTGAGATTGATTGCTCTGAAGTCAAATGCTAATTTCTTAATGTATCTATTAGGATCCGCAAGTAAAATCAATGCCGTGTAACGTACTTTTTACAATCGAATTATACGAAATATATCTTACACTTTTCGTAATGTTTTATAGCATTTAGCTGTTAATTGGCAAGAGATACTAGCTGAAAACCAAATAAATAAACAAGGTGACCCATCCTCTCTCCTCAGCATGTTGCAGTCAGCTCTGGCAGCAGCCAGGCAGACTTTGAGAAGCTGTGTACCATCCTGAAGGTCGTGCCCGCCATCAAGTACATCTGCCTGGACGTGGCCAATGGGTACTCGGAGCACTTTGTTGAATTTGTCAAGACCGTCCGGGGCAAGTTCCCCAACCATACCATCATGGTAAGGCCCTGTACCTTCATCCAGGCCTTCTTAGATAAACAAATGAATAGGATATAATTAAATAGAATAGAATAGAATAGAATAGAATAGAATAGAATAGAATAGAATATCTTGATTGTCATTGTCCATGCACAACAAACTATATATATACACACACACATACACATGGTCCCATGATGCTCTCTAACACTTGATAGGCTGGAAATGTGGTAACCGGGGAGATGGTGGAGGAGCTGATTCTCTCGGGGGCTGACATCATTAAAGTAGGCATCGGGCCAGGTCAGTGCCCCCCCCCCCGCCATCTTCTGACATCCTGTCCAAATAGGAACAGGTCTCAAAAATCAGTCATCCTCGACATTGGTGTTAAGGAGTGCTGTGCATACTGTGGATTCTAGGCACAAGTTTATGCAAGAAGCTTGTGTGTCATATTGCAACAGGTTCTGTTTGCACAACCCGCATCAAGACCGGGGTTGGATACCCCCAACTGAGCGCCATCATTGAATGTGCAGACTCAGCTCACGGCTTAAAGGGACACATCATTTCGGTGAGTTCCCTAAGACGCCATCTCCCTTCTCTGCTACTCATCATGCAGAGTATATCTCATTTATCAACAACTAAAAGGAACTTTAGGTCAGAAATTCACATTTCACCGAAGATCTCACATGACATAAAGTGAAAATGTGCAGCTACCATATAGCTTTTTGTGTTTTATATAAAATTATGCATTTTAAACATTTTCTTCTAGCCAAGCTAATAAACATTTCTGTATCTGTTATATAGACTTTATATATTATGGAGAATGTTACCCCAGAATGAGAAGAAGTGTTTTCAGTGTTGAGTTCCATCCGTGGTTTATCTTGTTCACAAGGACGGAGGCTGTAGCTGCCCAGGTGATGTAGCCAAAGCATTTGGTGAGTATCAGCTAAGAGACTAATGCAGACGAGTGTCAAGAAGCAGCCATTTCAAAGGCTTAGAGAAGCCTTTTCAGAATTTCAGAAAAAAATATGAATTGGTTGGAAAATGTGTGAATAGCTCTTGGTTTCAAGTGCCCTCTCCTTGTCCTTGATCTAGTTTTGAGTTTTATAATTAGTGTCGCGACCGGCTAGGGAGCAAATGCATTCCGAAAGCCCTTGCGTGAAATGGCAGCCTGTCAGATGTGACTGGGAGCGGGACTCTGGCTATGACTCGCATACGCCCATGCGTGTCGCTCGTGCAACCCATGGTGAGCTTGCTGCCATAGCACCACCAGAGGGCGCTCCAGGGATGGGAAGGAAATGCGGTAAAGAGCTGGACTTGCTGGCATGTGTCACTGGCTATACTTTACACACCATATTTAAAGTGGCACGAAATTACGAGGCTATCCCAGAAATTCCTAGAAATCCCATAATTTTGGTAATCACAGTTGCGTTGTATTATTTGGCAATTATGTCGTATTAATATGGTACCTTAATACATGGGTTCCCAAACTTTTCAGCTCATGATCCCTAAAATATATGGCAACCCCCATTTGGCTTGCTGGGGGGGTCCCCCTGGGTAGATTTCGCCAATCGGGGGGAGGTGTCCCCCTCGGTACATTTCACAGATTGGGGAGGCCAACCAGGGGGATGGCCAACCTTGTCCTGGGTCTGCCCCGGGGTCCCCTCCCAGTTAGATGTTTCCTAAACACCGTCCCAGGGAGGCATACAGGAGGCATACTACTTAGGTGCCTGAACTACCTCAACTGACTCCTTTCGATACAGAGGAGCAGCAGCTCTACTTTGAGCTCCCCCTGAATGTCCGAGCTCCTCACCCTATCTCTAAGGCAGAACCCAGACACCCTGCGAAGGAAACTCATTTCTGCCACTTGTACCAGCGATCTCATTCTTTCAGTCAATACCCAAAGGTCTTGACCATAGTTGAGGGTCACAACGTAGATTAACTGGTAAATCAAAAGCTTTGCCTTCCGATTCAACTCTCTCTTCACCACGAAAGAACAGTACAGCGCTCACATTACTACCGACGCTGCACCAATCTGCTGGTCGATCTCACACTTCCTTCTTTCCTCACTTGTCAACAAGGCCCCAAGATACTTAAACTCATCCACTTGAGGCAGTAAATCATCCCCCACCAAAGGAGGGCAATCCACCCTTTTCGGGAGAACCATGGCCTCAGACTTGCTGATCCTCATCCTAGCTTTGTCACACTCAGCTGCAGACCTCCCTAGGGCATGCTGTTGGTCACAGTCTGATGAAGCCAACAGGACTATACCATCTGCATAGAGCAAAGACGTGATCCTGAGGCCAGCAAACCTGACCCTCTCTGCTCCTTGACTACGCTTAGAAATTATGTCCGTAAATGTTATGAACAGAATGGGAGACAAGGAGCAGCCCTGGTGGAGTCCAACACCCACCAGGAACACATCTGACTACTGCCAATGCGAACCAAGCTCTCACTCTGTTCTCTGTTTATAAAGGGACCTTATGAACCACAACAGCGGACCCCATACATACCCTATACTCCTGAAGTATCTCATGTGGGACCCCCCAAGGGACATGATTGTATGCCTTTTCCAAGTCCACAAAACACACATAGACACAATAAGATTTAGGAGATCCTCAAAATACTCCTTCCACTGCCTGACTATATCCTGTTTTGAGGTCAACAGTTCTCTATCCCTGCTGTAAACAGCATGGATGAAGCCTTGCTTCCCCTCCTGAGTCACCTGACGGTTTGCCAGAATCTTTTCGAGGCTGACCAAAAGTCCTTCCCCATGGCTTCACCAAAGTCCCTTGGGATGCAGGAGAAATTATACTGGAGCTGCAAGTTGAAGAACTCCTGGGCAGAGGCCTGCACCAAGACACTCCCAGCACACCCTCACTATATGTTTGGGTCTAACAGGTCTATCTGGCATCTTCTCCCACCATCAGATCCAACTCCCCACCAGATGATAATCAGTTGAATCCAATAACAGAGCACCTCTTCTAGCACCACATCCAAGGTCTCCACGAAAGCTGGATACTGGAAAGCTGATGTTTGGTGCACAGACAACAGTCAGAGCCCATCCCCTAACATGAAGTAGAAGGAAAGCGACCCTCTCGTACACCGGCATAAACTCCAGCGTACTGGCACCGAACCGGGGGGCTATAAGTAGACCCACACCTGCCTGGCCCCTCTCATCATGGGCAACTCCAGAGTGGAATTGAGTCCAGCCCCTCTCAAGGAGTTTGATTCCAGAGCCCGAGCCACGGTATCTCTCTACCTCCTACGCCAGCTAAGACTCCTTTCCCACCAGAAAGGTTACGTACCATGTACCTATAGCCAGATTTAATCACCAAAAATCAGTCTGAAGCCCCTACCTTCAACTGCCACCCCACCTATGTTGCACCTGAACCCCACAGCCCTTCCTGCAGGTGGTGGACCCACAGGAGGGTGGACCCATGTAACCCTTTCGGGCTATGCCCAGCCGAGCCCTACAAGTAGCGGCCTGGCCATGAACTCCCTCCCCAGGCTTGGTTACAGGGCGGGGCCCCAGTCTCCCCAGTCTTGGCGGGGTTACATCTCTCTCTATTGTACTCCTCGTAGGGGTCTTTGCACATTGCACTTAATCTGGCCGCTCACCTAGGACTACTTTCCCTTGAGAGACTGTAAGCAGGGGCAATTTCCCACGGCAACATAGCTCCTATGATCACAGAGGCACACAAACCCTTACACCACGATAAGGTGGCAAATTGGATAATATTTCTTCATGTTTTTTTAATTTTATAAACAAGTCATGGAAATCATGTTGTGAACCCCCCCAAGTGGGTGACAGCCTCTTCAGCATTCTATGCTCCTGTGATAATTTCAGTGAGCAGGTTTGACTTCATTAATATAGTACAGTTCTTGAGTACTGATTATTATATATTCCTCACTGTGTCTGCTCATGCTTGGATTTGCCGACAGGGGCGGGGGCAGATTTTGTAATGCTGGGAGGAATGCTGGCGGGACATGACCAGTGTGCGGGCGACGTCATTGAGAAGAATGGCAAGAAGGTGAAGCTCTTCTACGGGATGAGCTCCGACACAGCCATGAAGAAGTACATGGGGAGAGTGGCAGAGTACAGGTACCTGAAGACGCACCTTAGCGAGGAACCTGCTGACACAGTCGAGTGAAAGACGATGCAAATTCATGCTAATAGATTGTAAGGAATGCTAATATATGCCAAGTCATGCAAGCATATGTAAAATATGTTTCCCGTTCCAGCCCACACCTTCACTAAAATAACTTATAATCACTAGCTAAATGTGACAGTAAATTCCCTTTAAGTGAACAGTCCCTGAGTGTGTTTACCTCACTGATGGTTTCTATCGCAGTATATTTTTATTGCACATTAATCAAGTCAGTGGATTTCAAAATATGTATGAAATTTTGTCAGAGCATCATATTAGCATATCTCGAGTATGCTGGGTTTTTATGCTACATTAACGATTTTTACTTGTAGCTAATTTTGAAGAGCGATTTATTGCTAAGCAGTGTTTAGTTATTACCCACATTTTTCTTCAGGGCATCCGAGGGCAGGACAGTAGAGGTGCCCTATAGGGGCGACGTGGAGAACACCATCCTGGATATCCTGGGGGGGCTGCGCTCCACCTGCACCTATGTGGGGGCCACAAAGCTGAAGGAGCTGAGCCAACGGACGACCTTCATCAGGGTCACTCAGCAGTCGAGTAACATGTTCTGCTAGTCAGTGCCCTCACGCCCAGCAGCTCCCACACTCCACTCCCAGCGTGACCCACACCACAGATTTTGGGGCAGATGAATGGCCATTTTTGTACAGTCCTCAGATCATTCACTTTCTCTTTACACTCGGCGCCAAGTACACAACGTGACCTGTGCTGTGAAACAGGTTTATTTTGGTACAGGCGTCTGTTCAATCTGACAAAGCCATAGTTTGGTATCACAGCAAATCGTCTGTATTTCACTCAGGACTCCTGTGTTGAATGTAAGTAAACTCAGACTATAGAGAGATTTGCATGTCCCTTAGCTGTTCAGCTGACAATGCAAAATGGAAAAGCTCGCTCTATGTTAGCACCAGAATATAGAATTTGTCTCGGACACAAGCAGAATTCTGAATGTGGCCAATGTATGTAGAGGCAGGTCTTATACTACCATGCGCATGACTTCACTGATACAAAACTTGAATCGAAAAGATTCTGAACAATGTTTCAGGTGGTTTGGTTTTCAGCTGTCATATTCCCTGGCTAGTAACAGTGTTACATTTCCATAAGGGGGGAGAAAGGGGAATGCTCGTAGGGGTCCAGACACTAGGAGCCCCATGAGTGTGCAAGCATGGATAATGGTAGCATTGGTTCAGATATGAGGCCCTGCCATGACTTTGTGTGGCCCTGTATCGGGTATCACTTTAAAGGATTTGAGTTAAAATATCATGTATGAAGTGATAATGAACCAATAAGTGTCATTTCCATTATTATGTGATGACTCAGTAGAACTACAAAATGTGCTGTTAATGCAGTGACTTTATGAACGGCTGAACAGACAGTTATGTCTCCGCCTAGTGGTGACTAGTGGTTGTACCTCCGAGTAATTTACACACCATTTTTTCCACCTTCAGTACCAAACTTTCATTAGTTACACATCTTAGCAGTGCAGTTCTGCAAGAGGAATTAATCTTTCAGCTGCCTTTGCATGATGTTGCGTTTCAGCGTGCTGTGATAAATTGCTTTCTGCCAAAGAACAAGTTGCAGAGATTATATAGGTTTGGCTTTTGTTTCTGACAGAGGGTCTATGTATGGAAACTGTTTGGAAATTAAAGGCAAAACTAAAGACTGTGACTAGTGACATCCTGATTTGAATGTCCAGTGGATTAGAAGCAATAAACAATAAACCACAAGTTATTTGGTTAAGATAAAAATAGCAATCTGCTAATTCTTTACATGAGGACATTATTGGGCCATATTTACCTCCTCAAGTGGGAATTCGTGCCACTGACTTGACTCAGACTCAAGTTACAAATTGGATGACTTCCAGCTCAATTCGGCATAACTCATTGAAAGACTTGGACTCGAGGGCAAATACTCGAGCCTTGGATCCGACTTGGATCCTACGACTTGAGAAAACTTGAGGCTGTAGTTCCCATAAATACCATAATGTTATTTGTATAATTTCTGTGTATATTTCAGCGCATATTAATTCTCTGCTGTCTGCATTTTCAACTGGTTGAATGCAAGGTCTCCTGAGATTGTTTGTTGGAAAGATGCATCACTTCCTGCACAGACCCAGACGTAAAAACCGTGACAGAGTGGAACCTCTCTTTTCAACCTTTCTCTGTCTATAAAGAATATATCCTATGACTTACTGTGGTGGGCTTTTGCTGTATGTAGCAAGTTTTAATCACTAAATGTGAAAAAACTGACATAGGTAGGGACTCAAATTACAACTCAACCTAGACTCGGGTCACAAATTTGATGACCTGTGACTTGATAGCAAAAATGATGGAAAGAGTTAGGCTCAACAAATGACTCGACTCTTGACTCAGACTGCAATGTCTCGATTTGAGACTCAGACTCGCCAAGGAATAACTTGTTCCCATCCCCGATATTATACATATCAAGGTGCCATTCTGTGGTTATCAGTAATGAAACTGATACACATATTTATGATTTGACCTTAACAAGCCATGATTTAAATGCTGGAGACACTTAAAAAAAGGCAATAGGAATTGGCACTGTTATTTTATTAGTACGAGTATACTGGAACAATAAACTTGTACTGGTATACAGACATTTTTTTCCTTTTTTAAAACAAATCCGTTCAAATCCTGAATCAAATATTGTTTTATTTGTAATAATGATATAATTTCTACCTAGAAAACTTGCAAGCACCGTCAAAGAAAAGGACCATAAAATCCATTAAACAGACTTCAGTGTATCCGACAAATAGACACACCACAATTAGAAAATAGAATTTCAATTCTCTTTTTTTGTTGTTTTTTTGTTTCTTAAAAAAGCTAGTGCAAGTACAATATTTTACACTAAAATTACAGAGCAAATTCACACAGATGGAAACAAAGCCAGTGAAGTAAGATCGTGTTTCACAATGAAAGCTGTTAATTATGCCTGTATGCTCAATTTCTCCTCTAAGGTGCGAAACATTCCCTCTTAAAACCCACTTTGCTATTGGCCTGAGTTGCTTGTGCTGCCTCCGTCCAATGGCAAGTAGCCAGAAACCAGGCTGGTCTCTGTACCCTTTCAGAATGGAAGACTTAATCTTAATTCACATAACCATTTGCGCACCTGTACTGGAAAAAAAAAAAAGTAATAATAAACCAGGTACCGCTGTAGTCCTACTGCGGTCCCATTGCTAGCTATGACATCACCATGGCGTCCCGTTTCAAGACAGCCCCCTTTTGTGACTGTCCAAAATCGTTAACAGAAAGAGAAGAAGAAATGACAGAATGAATAAGAACCTACTGGAGGATGAATGTACATCGATTGTGGGGAAAAAACAGTACTATCAAACAACTGACCAATCAAAGGGGATGGTCATTCAAGGTGGCCTATCACAAGAGGGAAGTCTTACACTGCTTTGGGTATTCAGTTGAAATTTAAACAGGACACAAGATATTCATGATAGTAGCTTCTTATAATAGAGAATTCACACCCTTATACATAATTTTACAATTTTTGGACACAAAGGGGAAATTTATACCAAGGGAAGGGAGCTAAGTGTTTATAAAAACAAATCAGCAACATGGAATGAGGGGACTTTTATTTTTCTTTACTGATGTGTAAAGAGGACAAATGCCAAGATGGCACTGAAATGCTGAACAGAGATCAGTGGGCTGACATTAATCAGGACACTGCTGCCGATTTTGTTTCGAGGTTTGACGCCGGCATCATCCACTTCACACATCGACTGGTCTGTTCCAGTATTCGGTTGACGCAGGCCAGTCTGGAAAATGGCCAAAGCACGTCAAAGCAAAACGATACAATAACATGTCTGGCCCAATGTGCCCACAGCGTGACGTCCCCCTCAGGGCAACGAATCATAGATGAAGGGCTAATAAAGTGACAAATGATGTGTGCAGAGTGCCTGGCTGATTTGCTACTGCGGAATTGCAGAGCATTTCCTACACAGGCCCACACAACCATGCAGGTACTTCTCACGGCCCAACAGGCAGAAAGAGCCCGGCACTCTGTATTTCTACTGGTGCATCTTTTGCCATTTCCAGTGGGTACATATCGTTAATTAAAAAATTAACAATAATAATTGTGATGATAAAAATAAGCGTCTATTCGATTTGAATGAGAGTCAAACAGTCCACAAAAGCATAAATCCAGTGAAATTAAAGCACTATGTGGGTCGGTCAGGTTCTCAGCCTGAGTGCGAAATGCGGCAGTTCGCCAATGCAAAGTTTGACTAGACGCCAACAACAGTCAAGTTAAACAGAGAGATCCTGTGATTTGTATTCGGTTTAAGAAGGTGCCATAGTCATTGCGAAAAAGAAATTCAAAATAAGAAAACGTGCCTCCCGCAAATACTGAATTTCTTGTCAAACATTCATATTTCATTTGTGCAATCAAAATAAAACCCAAGACATACATCACCGCTCGCACGCAAACGAGAGCACTTGAAATACCTCTTCGGCTGGTCAAGTTCAGTAAAGCAAATATAAAACAGACCTGCATGTCATCACGAGAAAAACTTACAGTGCTACAAAAAAAAATTTAAATCTAAGGTAACAAGGACAAGTTGACATGAAACAAAAAGTTGAGCCCGAGAGAAAAGGTGTCAGTTTTGCTTTGCGTGAAGGGCATTCCCAGCCCCTGCTCCTGGGAGTCAGCCCCCTACACCTCTACTCCAGAAACCAGGTGACCGGCCAGGCTCTGCCAGCCTACTGAATGGAGAGCACACCTCACAAGAAGCCCCCTCCACACCTCACTCACTCTTCTTTGCTGTCCAGTGAGCATTAGACCCCTTTAAGAGCCCGGCGTTTGTTTTACAAATAGGCGAGACCATCTCATGGATTCAAAAAGTGCATGAACAGATAGTATTAAATATACAATGAAAAAGGTTCCATACACGTGTCTAAACTGGTCCCTATTTGAGTAGGTTTGAGAAATGAGAATACCCCAATGGAACTAGACAACAGAAGGACAGTTCCAGAAGTCTGAGGAGCTTAGGGTCTAAAGAGTCTCCAAGTTAGTGGACTCTAGTTTGGGAGCTGTTTCTTTAATCCGAGACACTGGGCATTAGGTCTACTGCATGTCTTTGTCTGACGAATGTCAGAATCTGCCAGCCGAGGAAAAACACCTCTGCTCACGGGCTATGAAAGTGCTGCTTCTGGTCACGTCAGTGCATCGCACTCACACAAACACAAACACGAGCAAACAGCGGCATGCACGCTAACAGACCAACCCCATCCCTGAGTAATAACTAGGAAATATTTTTTGGCCTTCAATGGAGAGAGACAGATGATGTCACAAACGATGTCCTCGGCAACAAAGAAACAACAAAAATATTAACACATTCAAATATTAACAGAGTTTTCTCAGTCCCAAAAACAGAAAAGGGGTGTTACACCCTCCTTATTTCTTTAGCAAGGAGAAAGCCCAATATAACTTCATCTTCATTCTAAATTCTTTGATGGGAATCCCTATATATTAATAGCATTATATAACAGTCCTCAACATAATTCAGATAATGACATCATAATGACATCATTTGTCCTCTCCAAACAACATGGCCCAGAAATAAAACAATTTCTAAGTATGACTCTTGCCAGGAACATTTTTTCTCATTCTTATAATCTCTTGCAAAAAGAGCTCCCTTTCACTGAGGAATGGATCTTGGTGTTATGTGTTGGAGATACACTGAACTTGTGAGGAAATAATATGTTCAGTTCCTTTGAAGGTAAGATATTCTATTCTGCTGATATATTGCATGCTGCGCAGCCTTACAGAGGCACATGGATGAAATGTTTAAGGTCTACCCACACTGCATACTCTCCTTTTTCTGAGGCAAGAGATAAAAAAAAGAGTAATACAGTGGTACCTCGGTTCTCGAACTTAATCCGTTCCGGACTCCGGATCGAATCCTAAAAAGTTGGGAATTCTGATTGAATTTTTCCCATAAGTAATAATGGAAAACCAATTAATTGGTTCCCGGCCCTCCAAAATTACACCTATTTTTTCTTTTTTAGCACTTAAACACAAAATGAACAGGATAAAACAAGAAGAGCATTTTTTTCTTAATGGCTTCCAAAACGATAAAGATCTTATCCCAACATTACCCCTGTCCTGCCCCTATCGTCCTCTCCTTCCGTGTGCCACGCCCCCTAGTTAACCCCGTGTGGGATCCCCATGTGATCAGCTGTTTCTGGTTATTGTCAGTAGTCCTCTGTATTAAG